TAAATATAAGCTGTAAGTTATGTGTTAATATAAACTGTAACTTGTGTGTTAATATAAACTGTAACGTGTGTGTTAATATAAACTGTAACTTGTGTGTTAATATAAGCTGTAACTTATGTTGATATAAGCTGTAACGTATGTGTTGATATCAACTGTAACGTGTGTGTTAATATCAACTGTAACTTGTGTGTTAATAAACAGCTTAATGTTAATATCAACTGTAACTTGTGTGTAAATATCAACTGTAACTTGTGTGTAAGTGTACAAATTAGGTTGAACCAGTCACTTAGCTAAATTATATCCCAATAAAATTTTAGTGCATAATATTTAGTATGATAGTATCCAAATAAGCTGTAACTTGTGTGTTAATATCAACTGTAACGTGTGTGTTAACATCAACTGTAACTTATGTGTAAATATAAGCTGTAACTTATGTGTTAATATAAACTGTAACGTGTGTGTTAATATCAACTGTAACTTGTGTGTTAATATAAGCTTTAACTTGTGTGTAAATATAAGCTGTAACTTATGTGTAAATATAAGCTGTAAGTTATGTGTTAATATAAACTGTAACTTGTGTGTTAATATAAACTGTAACGTGTGTGTTAATATCAACTGTAACTTGTGTGTTAATATAAGCTGTAACTTATGTTGATATAAGCTGTAACGTATGTGTTAATATCAACTGTAACGTGTGTGTTAATATCAACTGTAACTTGTGTGTTAATATAAGCTTAATGTTAATATCAACTGTAACTTGTGTGTAAATATCAACTGTAACTTGTGTGTAAGTGTACAAATTAGGTTGAACCAGTCACTTAGCTAAATTATATCCCAATAAAATTTTAGTGCATAATATTTAGTATGAAAGTATCCAAATAAGCTGTAACTTGTGTGTTAATATCAACTGTAACGTGTGTGTTAACATCAACTGTAACTTATGTGTAAATATAAGCTGTAACTTATGTGTTAATATAAACTGTAACGTGTGTGTTAATATCAACTGTAACTTGTGTGTTAATATAAGCTTTAACTTGTGTGTAAATATAAGCTGTAACTTATGTATAAATATAAGCTGTAAGTTATGTGTTAATATAAGCTGTAACTTGTGTGTTAATATAAGCTGTAACTTGTGTTGATATAAACTTCAGCGTATGTGTTAATATAAACTGTAACTTGTGTGTTAATATAAGCTGTAACTTGTGTGTTAATATCAACTGTAACTTATGTGTAAATATCAACTGTAACTTGTGTGTTAATATAAACTGTAACGTGTGTGTTAATATCAACTGTAACGTGTGTGTTAATATAAGCTTTAACTTGTGTGTAAATATGAGCTGTAACTTGTGTGTAAATATCAACTGTAACTTGTGTGTAAGTGTACAAATTAGGTTGAACCAGTCACTTAACTAAATTATATCCCAATAAAATTCCAGTGCATAATATTTAGTATGAAAGTATCCAAATAAGTTATCTAGTTGAATAAAGTGTTTCCATTTTCCTATGAACGAATCGTTGCGTAATTGGACGTTTGATTGGTTGATTTTATAAATGTGAGAAAGGATAGTGTATATGTGAATGTAAGTATGAATGTGATATTAGTTTGAACTGGCTATATTATATCCTAGGTTTTGAAATGTTAGAAGATATATATAGTTTGAGTTATCGCAGCTTTAACGTTGGTTATTGTTTACACAGATTATACGTACGCTTGACTGGATTGGCGGCTTGACGGGGCTGTACTCTGCACCCTTGTGCTATTCACCGGACAGGCATTACTTTGTGCTTGTTAGAAATGTTTATGTAGCATTGCGTCGTTCATATATTCTATCTGGGCATGTTTATAGGACTCATATGCCCTAACCATATTTATGTCATGTATATGTAATCAGTACATCAAGGAGTGATCGCCCCTTGTAGTCTATGTAACTAGAATGTGTATTATGGTGTTTCATCTAACAGATGTAATGGCGGATTTTAAATCTCATGTACAGATAATGACTTTGTATTTATTGAATCATGTGTTGTTTCAGGGTGTTGTTATTAAAAGGGGAATAAAGTCCCACCCCCAAACCACTGTCCTGGACGTATTGACAACCAAACACTATCCCGGTTACACTTGCTTCCTCACATAACATCTCAAATTATGAGACGACCAGCAGTTGTGTGGAGATAATCTGTACTCAGGCTGGAAGCTTACCCACTGTTTCAGTGAAGCGGATAGGGCCTTGGCTGTTGTACCGCAACTCTGTGCTGACAGTGAATAACCTTTGTAGTGATTTGTGATTTGTGGTAAATTATATCACATGTGCTTTGTTGTTCGTTAATACCCGGTTAAATGTATAAACTAATTCCTTGTTTTTGAATGTTATATATCATATTATTTACAATTTATTTCTACATGGAAACGATTGTATGACAGATGATAATCAAACACAGGCATTACTTAAAACTCCACAACTACGTGTGCATAATTGATTAAGGGTGTCCACGTCCACAGTAGCCGTTCCAGATACCAATATTCTCAGCTGATGTACCCAACATTACATTTTACATAGGGGATATTGACAACGGCCCACTTTCCAGACAAGAATTCTTATGTTTCTGCATTATGTTAGACTTTCATAAATTAACTTTCTGTGAACACCTGGCGTTTTTTAATCATATTTTGCTTTGAACGCCCACCTGAAAATAGAAATAGGTTATTCTCTAACATTGATGTTTTATATTTTTCATTTTTCATCAATGAATTGGTGGACGAAATCACGTCCTTTTGTACAAATGGCGTTCAGATATTCGGGCCCAGATATTCCCTGACTTACTCGAGCTGTTTCTTCTACAATTGGACTCCAAAGGCAATTTGATATTTTTGAGAATTACTGCGAAACATGGAGTCTTTAACTAAATATATACAAGACAAGTATTGTTGTATTTAAACATGGAGGCAGACCTTCTAGGACGGGAAAGTTGTACTACAAACTTGCTCCAATTAAAGTTTCATCATATGTATGCTATTTTCTAGATACTTCACTCTCACTCTATAAACTATCTTAGTCTCTAATAGCTAAGACGGCTCTCATAACTGTTTAGCGTAGTTTGTTTAAGTTTTAAAATGTCTATAGTATTCTGAGGTGTTGGGTATTTAAGGGTTTAAATGCCTTGAAAACATACATTTGCAAGCATATACAAGTTTTCTGGGCATCCACAGATCAACAAAACTCATGGGCAAAAGAAAGTATAGGTCATTTTGAAGATCAGTTAAACAGAAACAACACCAGATTTGGATTATGTAATAGATGTAATTTGTAGCAACTTCATTTGCACTTTGCTGTGTGTACAAATCATCACCTGGTTGAAAGAACTGAAAGGTGACATTGACATTCAAACAGTCAGGGGGTAAATATCAAATTACAATGATATTCCTTTGACGAATTGCGCACACAAAAGACAGAAAAGTTTGTTCCAGAACGATCACAACGTCAGTAGCGTGTGTGTCCGCCAGCAGCCTCGATGCACGCTCGTGCACATCGTCGCACGAATTTGTCTTCCCAAATGATCCCACAAATGCTCGATCGGATTCATACCTGGTGATCGAGAAGACCAGGGTAGAACGTTAACGTTATTCTGATTAAGAAAGTTTCTCGTCGCTATTGCTGTACGGTGAGTTGCATTGTCTTGCTGAAACAATACACCATTTGGTGGATTGTTCAAGAAAGGTAAGACGACAGGCTGCAAGACTTGATTTCGGTACTCATTAGCATTGAGATTCCCCTGAATAACGACCAAGGGTGTCGTTTGGTCGCCAATAATGCCACCCCACCCCATACCACCTCCACCATAGGCATGGACTTCTTGAATGCATGCGTTCACGCCGTCGCCTGTAAACTCTCTGTAGGCCGTCATTTTTGTGCAGACAAAACCGACTTTCATCGGTGAAGAGGACCCTACGCCAATCATATACTTGCCAGCGGTATACTCGTCTTGCCCATTGCAGTCTGTCAAGTCGATGTGGTTGAGTTAGTCTCATTCCATGGAATGGTCGATAGCAACGTATTCCACCTGCTCTCAAACGTCTGAGGACAGTCCTTCGACTGATCCGACGTCCCAACGCTGTTTCGGCCGTTGACGTTGCCGTAACAAATCGATTTCGGAGGTGTATCAGGCGTATATGGTGATCTTCACGTGCGCTGGTTACACGTGGACGTCCACTCCTCGGCCTGTCCTGTGTTCGACCCGTCTGTCTGAATCGTTGGAGGAGTCTTGATATCGTCAGTGGCGTAAAACCAAATCTTCTTGCAATTCTGACGTTCGTGGCTCCCATATCGGACATCCCTATGGCCATCTCTCTCTGTTCTGGCGTCAGTCGTGGTATATTTTCCATGTGTTTTCAGCAGCTGTAATATGACGGGACCGATGCATCGCATTTATACCGAAACTTTGCACGTGCATTACGTGCTAGGAGCATGGAACATGCTCTCCACATTTGTGACGTCATCACTCTCACCGTTCAAACGTGTTGCGTTTTGGCGGTGTATTTCCCTTCCCAGTAGTGGGGCCAACATTGCCAGCATGCCTAATTCTCATAACCATGTCAATGACAGTGAAAACATTTTTTTTTTTAGAGTCCTATACTTTCTTTGGCCCATGAGTTTAGTAATACTGAATATTTTGTTGCAAATTGCAAGTATACACAAATGCATGCTCAATGCACTAAAGATTGAACATGGCACATGACTATATACACATGACTATATACACGATGAGACTTTATTTCTAAGCGTTTTTGTTTGAAAACGCTAAATGTTTCAACTCTAATTCAACTCTGTAAAAATACTTGTGGAACGTCTTGTTAGGGGGTCTGGCAATGATTTGATTAAAATTTGGGATGTCAGCGCTTACTGGAGGAAATATGGTTCAAACATAATTTCATTATTTATGGATGACCAACGAATAAGGAATTTCTTTCGCTACTGCTGACGTAAACTGTCTTCTTGCTGTAGGTCTCCGAACGAAGCTGGAAGCTTTAGCCAAGGAGAAAGACTGTGAAGCACTGAGCCCTTGGATCACTAGCATTATCGACCACCTTTACTGGTGTGTCGCGTCCAGCCCTCCTAGAGATCCGGAGCTGGTACTAGAGAAGTAGCGCTCCGTCATCAACCACGTTCAAAACATCCATGTGTGGGTCACGGAGCAAGGGTCACAGAATGCCAGCATCCCCTGGAAGGAAGGAAGTGAGGCTCCCCAAAAGAAGTGGTTGAAATGTGGTGTGTATTGATGATATATTATTTGGTACTAATATAAGTAATTATATGGTTCAGGCACCAAGTTGCAGAGAAACTTGGCCTTTTGTTAGAAAATCCACGATTCTTGAAAGACGTCAGGAAGATCTCCCCGCAGTATCAAACGTCGGCAGTGGAAAGCTTCCACCGGGTCATTATCAACTTCGCCCCCAAGATGGTAGGTTTCTCCTACACGGGCATGCTTTCCAGGTTAGAACAAAATTGAATAAAAGTACCATGAACTGAATCAGGCCAATTGACTTTATTTCATGTCACAATTTACACTGTCTTCATCCTGACTCGATGTTAAGAATGTTATTTCAAATAGGTAAAATGAATATTTTCTACTATTGTTAGGATTATGAGTTACATTTTCCTTTACATATTTTGCAGGTTGTACTTGAAAACAATGCATTTCAAGGAAACTGGAGCCCGACCTCAAGCTCGTGATGACAATGGAGAGTTAAAGTTCAGGATTACATACAAGAAATATAGGAAGGGACAACATGTGCTGACAAAAGCAGCAAGTAACATGACTTATGGTATGTGTGTACAATTTATTACCCTCGTAATGTTAAACCGGTTATCAAAATCTTTTTCATATGAATTGTAATCAGAAAATTTGTGATTGAGACAATACCACAATAAAGAAGTTTATAATCATCTGACCTGTTCGTTTTAGTTGAATTGTTGTTTTATTTACGGTAAAGGGTACCAGTCCATTTCACATTCATGTTTCACATTTAAATGATTAGAAAAAAATACTTACAGAGACAGTTGAATTAGATTTTCACCTGTTTATTTTTTATTCAGACTATGTTGGAAGACTGCTGACAGCGGTGTGTAACCAAGCCAGGTAGAGTCGAGAACACAGGGCCACCACGCAACACATTGTTGTCCCAGCACCCGTAACAAGCCAGTCGAGAACACAGAGCCACCACGCCACACATTGTTGTCCCAGCACCCGTAACAAGCCAGTCGAGAACACAGAGCCACCACGCCACACATTGTTGTCCCAGCACCCGTAACAAGCCAGTCGAGAACACAGAGCCACCACGTCACACATTGTTATCCCAGCACCTGTAACAAGCCAGTCGAGAACACAGAGCCACCACGCCACACATTGTTGTCCCAGCACCCGTAACAAGCCAGTCGAGAACACAGAGCCACCACGCCACACATTGTTGTCCCAGCACCCGTAACAAGCCAGTCGAGAACACAGAGCCACCACGCCACACATTGTTGTCCCAGCACCCGTAACAAGCCAGTCGAGAACACAGAGCCACCATGCCACATATTGTTGTCCCAGCACCCGCAACAAGCCAGTCGAGAACACAGAGCCACCACGTCACACATTGTTGTCCAAGCACCCGTAACAAGCCAGTTTCCTCGAGTCAGTATAGACCAAGCCAGTCGAGAACACAGAGCCACCACGTCACACATTGTTGTCCCAGCACCCGTAACAAACCAGTTTCCTCGAGTCAGTATAGACCAAGCCAGTCGAGAACACAGAGCCACCACGCCAAACATTGTTGTCCCAGCACCCGTAACAAACCAGTTTCCTCGAGTCAGTATAGACCAAGCCAGTCGAGAAGACAGAGCCACCACGCCACACATTGTTGTCCCAGCACCCGTAACAAACCAGTTTACTCGAGTCAGTATAGACCAAGCCAGTCGAGAACACAGATCCACCACGTCACACATTGTTGTCCCAGCACCCGTAACAAACCAGTTTCCTCGAGTCAGTATAGACCAAGCCAGTCGAGAACACAGAGCCACCACGCCACACATTGTTGTCCCAGCACCCGTAACAAACCAGTTTCCTCGAGTCAGTATAGACCAAGCCAGTCGAGAACACAGAGCCACCACGCCACACATTGTTGTCCCAGCACCCGTAACAAACCAGTTTCCTCGAGTCAGTATAGACCAAGCCAGTCGAGAACACAGAGCCACCACGCCACACATTGTTGTCCCAGCACCCGTAACAAACCAGTTTCCTCGAGTCAGTATAGACCAAGCCAGTCGAGAACACAGAGCCACCACGCCACACATTGTTGTCCCAGCACCCGTAACAAGCCCCAGTTTCACTCGAGTCAATAGACCAAGCCAGTCGAGAACACAGAGCCACCACGTCACACATTGTTGTCCCAGCACCCGTAACAAGCCAGTTTCCTCGAGTCAGTATAGATCAAGCCAGTCGAGAACACAGAGCCACCACGTCAGACATTGTTGTCCCAGCACCCGTAACAAGCCAGTTTCCTCGAGTCAGTATAGACCAAGCCAGTCGAGAACACAGAGCCACCACGTCACACATTGTTGTCCCAGCACCCGTAACAAGCCAGTTTCCTCGAGTCAGTATAGACCAAGCCAGTCGAGAACACAGTGCCACCACGTCACACATTGTTGTCCCAGTACCCGTAACAAGCCAGTCGAGAACACAGAGCCACCACGTCACACATTGTTGTCCCAGCACCCGTAACAAGCCAGTTTCCTCGAGTCAGTATAGACGAAGCCAGTCGAGAACACAGAGCCACCACGTCAGACATTGTTGTCCCAGCACCCGTAACAAGCCAGTCGAGAACACAGAGTCACCACGTCACACATTGTTGTCCCAGCACCCGTAACAAGCCAGTTTCCTCGAGTCAATATAGACCAAACCAGTCGAGAAACCAGAGCCACCACGTCACACATTGTTGTCCCAGCACCCGTAACAATTAAGCCAGTTCCCTCGAGTCAGTATAGACCAAGGCAGTCGAGAACACAGAGCCACCACGTCACACATTGTTGTCCCAGCACCCGTAACAAGCCAGTCGAGAACACAGAGCCACCACGTCACACATTGTTGTCCCAGCACCCGTAACAAGCCAGTCGAGAACACAGAGCCACCACGCCACACATTGTTGTCCCAGCACCTGTAACAAGCCAGTCGAGAACACAGAGCCACCAGGCCACACATTGTTGTCCCAGCACCCGTAACAAGCCAGTCGAGAACACAGAGCCACCACGCCACACATTGTTGTCCCAGCACCCGTAACAAGCCAGTCGAGAACACAGAGCCACCATGCCACATATTGTTGTCCCAGCACCCGTAACAAGCCAGTCGAGAACACAGAGCCACCACGTCACACATTGTTGTCCCAGCACCCGTAACAAGCCAGTCGAGAACACAGTCACCACGTCACACATTGTTATCCCAGCACCCGTAACAAGCCAGTCGAGAGCACAGAGCCACCACGTCACACATTGTTGTCCCAGCACCCGTAACAAACCAGTTTACTCGAGTCAGTATAGACCAAGCCAGTCGAGAACACAGAGCCACCACGTCACACATTTGTTGTCCCAGCACCCGTAACAAGCCAGTTTCCTCGAGTCAGCATAGACCAAGCCAGTCGAGAACACAGAGCCACCACGTCGCACATTGCCACCCGTAACAAAGCCAGTTCCTCGGGTCAGTATGAATGAAAGCCAGTCGAACACAGAGCCACCACGTCGAACATTGTTGTCCAGCGCCCGTAACAAACCAGTTTCCCTCGAGCACCAGTTTCCTCGAGTCAATATAGACCAAGCCAGTCGAAACCAGAGCCACCACGTCACACATTGTTGTCCCAATACCCGTAACAATTAAGCCAGTTCCTCGAGTCGAGGTATAGACCAAGGCAGTCGAGAACACAGAGCCACCACGTCGCACATTGTTGTCCCAGCACCGTAACAAGCCAGTCGAGAACACAGAGCCACCACGCCACACATTGTTGTCAGCACCCGTAACCAAGCCAGTCGAGAACACAGAGCCACCGCATACACATTGTTGTCCCAGCGCCGTAACAAACCAGTCGAGGAACACAGAGCCACCACGCCACACATTTGTTATCCCCAGCGCCGTAACAAACCAGTCGAGAACCTGCCAGAGCCACCACATACACATTGTTGTCCCAGCACCCGTATGAAGCCAGTCGAGAACACCAGAGCCACCATGCCACATTGTTGTCCAGCACCCGTAATAAACCAGTCAGGACCGGAACGCCGGTCGAGGCAGAGCCGCCATGATCGAGCACCCGTAACAACCAGTTTCCTCGAGAGTATAGACCAAGCCAGTCGTCACAGAGCCACCACGTCACGCATTTGTTGTCCCAGCACCCGTAACAGCCCGGTTTCCTCGGTCGGTATAGATGAAGCCAGTCGAGAACACAGAGCCACCACGCCACACATTGTTATCCCAGCACCCGTAACAAACCAGTTTACTCGAGTCAGTATAGACCAAGCCAGTCGAGAACACAGAGCCACCACGTCACACATTGCTGTCCCAGCACCCGTAACAAGCCAGTTTCCTCGAGTCAGTATAGATCAAGCCAGTCGAGAACACAGAGCCACCACGTCAGACATTGTTGTCCCAGCACCCGTAACAAGCCAGTTTCCTCGAGTCAGTATAGACCAAGCCAGTCGAGAACACAGTGCCATCACGTCACACATTGTTTTCCCAGCACCCGTAACGAGCCAGTTTCCTCGAGTCAGTGTAGACCAAGCCAGTCGAGAACACAGTGCCACCACGTCACACATTGTTGTCCCAGTACCCGTAACAAAATTCCAGTCGAGAACACACAGCCACCACGTCACATTGTTGTCCCAGCACCCGTAACAAGCCAGTTCCCTCGAGTCAGTATAGACGAAGCCAGTCGAGAACACAGAGCCACCACGTCAGACATTGTTGTCCCAGCACCCGTAACAAGCCAGTCGAGAACACAGAGTCACCACGTCAACCATTGTTGTCCCAGCACCCGTAACAAGCCAGTTTCCTCGAGTCAATATAGACCAAACCAGTCGAGAAACCAGAGCCACCACGTCACACATTGTTGTCCCAGCACCCGTAACAATTAAGCCAGTTCCCTGAGTCAGTATAGACCAAGGCAGTCGAGAACACAGAGCCACCACGTCACACATTGTTGTCCCAGCACCCGTAACAAGCCAGTCGAGAACACAGAGCCACCACGTCACACATTGTTGTCCCAGCACCCGTGTAACAAGCCAGTCGAAAACACAGAGCCACCACGCCACATTGTTGTCCCAGCACCTGTAACAAGCCAGTCGAGAACACAGAGCCACCAGGCCACACATTGTTGTCCCAGCACCCGTAACAAAGCCAGTCGAGAACACAGAGCCACCACGCCACACATTGTTGTCCCAGCACCCGTAACAAGCCAGTCGAGAACACAGAGCCACCATGCCACACATTGTTGTCCCAGCACCCGTAACAAGCCAGTCGAGAACACAGAGCCACCACGTCACACATTGTTGTCCCAGCACCCGTAACAAGCCAGTCGAGAACACAGTCACCACGTCACACATTGTTATCCCAGCACTCGTAACAAGCCAGTCGAGAGCACAGAGCCACCACGTCACACATTGTTGTCCCAGCACCCGTAACAAGCCAGTTTCCTCGAGTCAGTATAGACCAAGCCAGTCGAGAACACAGAGCCACCACGCCACACATTGTTGTCCCAGCACACGTAACAAGCCAGTTTCCTCGAGTCAGTGTAGACCAAGCCAGTCGAGAACACAGAGCCACCACGCCACACATTGTTGTCCCAGCACACGTAACAAGCCAGTTTCCTCGAGTCAGTGTAGACCAAGCCAGTCGAGAACACAGTGCCACCACGTCACACATTGTTATCCCAGTACCCGTAACAAGCCAGTCGAGAACACACAGCCACCACGTCACACATTGTTGTCCCAGCACCTGTAACAGTTGCACAGTTTCGAGTTGCATATAGACGAAGCTTTCGAGGAACTCAGAGTCACCACGTCACACATTGCTGTCCCAGCACCCGTAACAAAGCCAGTCGAGAACATACAGAGGCCACCACGTCACACATTGTTGTCCCAGCACCCGTAACAAACCGGTTCCAGCCAGTCGAGAACAC